GTGGAGCCAAGCAAACTAAAGGTGTGAACAATCTCAATCTCTTCATCATCCATCCTGATGCTGCCAATTGGCCCAGTGGTAGCTATTTATATATACCATGGATATTGTTGGTGGGCAAAGTTCCCCTTTACGAAGCCCGTACAAATCAGACTCGACTTTGTCCATGTTACCACTGCTCCTGTTACCCTGCTATGTACAGATAATAAGTTATTTGTAGTAGTTGATATGGTTAATTTAATAACATTCTGAAAGATAAAGTCTGAAAGGTTAAAAACCAAAATGTCTGTTACTTGAACTTGATTTGTCTGGTCTCTGGCCTATGTTCCCTACCCTTTCCCAAAACACCCATGAATCAAAGGCTTTAAGAAGTCCCTAAAAATACCAAGAGTCTCTGGAAACCTATGAAATAAGTAATTTTGACTTAGCCAAGTCAGACCTAGCATTTGTTGTCTGTGGGTCAGCAAGCCAAAAACAAACATCAATCTTAGTACCGTTTTATAGAAATGAAGTTTCTATGTTGTCTTATTTTTTTTTGTTGTTGTTGTTTATTTACTTATTTTTCCAAGATCAGATGAATGTGGGCACATACAAGGTGGTGTGTTGTCGCTGTTTGATTTCCTTAGGTGCCCTCTGAACAAGTTGTTGGAACTCTGTCTCATAATCTTTGCCACGCTCAAGCCCATTGCTGCAATCACTCTGCCAATCCATATACCTGAGGATCCTCACATACACCACCACCACTACAAAGCCCAGCATGATGTCTTTTTTCCAAGGGCTAGTCCCTTCTAAAGATATGCCCAAAGTATGTGAGATGACCTTTCATCACCCGTGCTATTAAGGGACACCCTAGGTGCACTTCCCCCAAGACGGATTTGTTTATTCTTTTGGCAGTATTAAGTATTCTTTGACAACCATCACAATAAGCCCATACAGAGTTGTGCTGCTAACTAGCTCTACCGGAGAAGCACAGGCAATCTTCTCTTGTGCGATATACAGTCTCAGAATTCCAGAGGAGGGCTGTGAGTCAGTTCTGACTCTATGGCAATAAGTTTGTTCAGGTTGGAATAACTGTAGATTATTTATTTTTATGGTGAAACAAATAAAGATATTTCTTATAGCTCTTATATAGATATCTTGGTATCATTTCTAACAGTTCCTCACCTAGAAACTACACATCTCTAGCAGTTCAAATCTAACACTGGTTGCTTGGGAGACAAATGGATAGTTTCTGCCCACTGCAATTTATAGACTGGAACACTCGATGGGCTAGCAATAAGTTGGAACCAAGTCAATTGCAGTGAGTTAAGAGGGCTTTTTGTTGTTTATGGAAACTTCAGCCTATCTGACCTATCTATTTTGCCCCGGATTTTGTCTCTGAAGTGCCATTGAGATTCCCCTTTGCATCATGCCCTTTTTGCCAGTGTGGTAATTACGGGACAGGCACACAATAGCATAAATGATCAGGTGCATGAATTTGAGAATCAGATATTTCTGAGTTTGAATCTAGATGCATTCGTTTTCTTCCTTGGTCAAGTTGTTCAACCTTTCTGAAGGGAAAAATAACTCATCTTAGTATTTTAAAATTTCCCAGTTTTTCTGAGTAATTGATCTTATTGAACCTTTAAATGAAAACAAAACAACATGACTTTCGAATTTTTGTGTGGTACATTATGAAGAAAGAATTTGAAATGAAAATTTTTATTTTATTAAATACTGTAAAATTAACATTTACTATATTTGCATACT